TATAGCAAAATCCATTGTAAACCTCTAAAATTATGAAAATATATATATATATATATAGCGAAGATCTGAATAGGCACATTCCACAAAAGATAAACGAATTCGCCTCGTTGGCACCTGCCGGAAAGTACCCCTAGTAATATTTCTGTTACACGACACTATTCTCACTCGTGAGCTTGGGATACCTGTAACTCAACGTTAAAAACCACTTACAAGACACCATCACTCACTTTGGGAGGGGGAGGTTTATTATTAATTCACATTCACATAGGGGGAGTTCATTAATAGAGGGTTTTCACTCATTTGCCCAGCATCTATGCCTACTTATTGGAAAACAGGAAAGCATTATAAAAGAAAAGAGGTCAACTTCCAGCAGATTTTCTTTCAACACAACTTGGCCACTGCTTCATTGTTTTGGAACACCAGTATGGCCGCTGTGATGTCATGTCAAAACAGTCAATAACTAAACTGTGCAAGAAGCTATCTGGAAGAGTCTCACACAGGGTTGTAAGTTATCCGGGCCCAAAAAAGCTCTTGAAGGCAGTATGTTATGGATTGTGAGTTATATGTATTACTTTGTACATGTATCTATAAACAGTGTTGAAAACGATTTTTGGTAAAAAATGTTCATGTACTCACAAGCAGCTGCCTGCTCCATTCCAGCCATTGCAGCTAGATGGAGAAAAGAAATATATTAATACACAAAAATGTCAAAATGCACAGTGTGCAGGTGCAAAGAAAGTCAGTTTTACAGCTTGTCATTCGGGCACACTGTAGTTAACATGTACTTGCCCAAAAGTCATTTCAACTAGCCCGATGCTCAGCAGGGTTGATAACAGTTCTCAGGCAAGTTAAGAACATAATTTACTAGCCCGATAGTAAAACCCACACAGGAAAAAATAACGGATTCTCATTTTGGGATATTTTAGGGTATTTAAAGAATACCCATAAAAATCCCAAATTTGGCAAAGTGAGACAAGTCCCAACCAGGGAATTCCCAACCAAGTTCCCTGATTGGGACTTGTCTCACTCTTCCAAATTTGGGATTTTTGTGGGTATTCTTTAAATACCCTAAAATATCCAAAAATGGGAATGTGTTATTTTTTCCTGTGCCACTAGCTCCAGGCTATCAGACACTACTTTCTTTGCACACTGGTGTGCAGGATTTGACATTAGTGCCGTCCCACTCACCAATGTCAGTTTGAAAGCCTGGGTTGTGAATGGAAATCACAAAGTTAAGTTTTTGAACTTAACTTATAAGGGTTTCATTTAACTCACCTTCTCTTTCTGCTTTTTCTCTTGCATATCGTTCGGCTAAAAGCTGACCTTTGGGGTACCAGGGTGCATTCTTGTGTTTCTTAATCAGCTCTTTATATCTCTCTTCTGAGGTTTCTTCAAATATGTGCCCTCTGTAGCCCAGACCTAAGCCGACACTAGTCCAGAAAACATGCATCAAGGGTTCTGTAGGGGTGAAATGGCACATTTACAGTGATACATTGTATAATGGCGGATAAAAATAATAGGCAGAAAACTTCTTCCATTGATGTCTTTCCCTCCGTACACTATTTTACCCATTAGTAACTCAAATTCTTTTTCTCAACAAGGTGTTTATCATACAGCTCAACAGAGTAACGTCATTATTGACTTAATATAAACATTTTTCAGCTGTTGTTGTTGTTTCTTTCACAAAGCAAGTTGCAATGTCTGGGGTGTTACCTAGCCTGCGGGCAAGCTCTCCTGGGGTTCCCGAGGGTACGAGGGTGGGGAAGGGAAGAAGGGAAGGAGCGCTTGCATTCCTGTCTCATAAATTTGAATGTCTGCGTCCCAGAATGGGATGTGAAATGCTGATTGGCTGATTTCTAATCAAGTAATGACGTAATGTTCAATGCAACAGGCAGTGGCGGTGCTCAAAGGGCTCACACAAGGGAAGAAAGCAAGGCATGTATAGACTTGCAGTAAATATATAGGAAATCTGGGAACGACAACTACGACAACAATACAGCTGTAAAATTAGTGTTTACTGACTGATCAAAGGTACAACAAACTAACTAATAGAGAACATAAATTTAGGGGGCGTTAAAGTTATGGATTGATTACTTTACTACTTTCTTAGCATTTTGGCCAAAATTGATAAGAACTGAATCGGTGATCCCACGCACGCTCGATCATTACAGTAAACCAACACCAAGAAGACAACCAAGGGAAACATACGATATATAAATACTTACTTCTCCACATGGGTAAACCTCGTACAAGATTAGCATAACATGCTGTAAAGAAACCGCCAACTCCGAACCAGACTACTGTCCTAATCATGTTTTAAGTTTGATTAAAAACAGAGATCAAGTGATCTGCAAAATCCAAGATGGCGCTTGATCAGGCAAAATCTTAGCGGCCAGGCCTTTTTGGAGTACCGCTGGCTGGTCACCAATGGCGGCTCGAGATGGAGGCTAATCTCTTCCCCAGGGTCTGGCGACGAGGTTGCGGATGAAGGTTACGCAGTCACGCAGCTAGGTCACGCTGAATGGGATGAAAATGGACAAGATCCGAGAAAAGCACCGTATAACTATTACGGACATTACGCTGCGGTAAGAAATCTCTTCACTCTTACTTTCTTAGTAATTTGAATGGTGTTAGAGATGCAATGTTGTGCATGTCAGCAAAATAGTTTCTAGGTTTTGCCGGTGAAAGCATGTATGGCAAGCATCAGATTAAGGACTGAGCACGGTTATGAGCACTTTGCCATAAGTTACTGTAGCCTCATTTGGAAAAGAGGCTAATATAACTTGATGCGAAAGTAGAAATAGAAGTTGACTAGAATTTGTCGTGACGTCTTTCACCTGGGTGCAAAGAAGTCAGTTTATCAGTTTGCTGACTCGTAGGATTAATAGATAATTAATTATTATTTTATTAATTATTAATTTACACCTTTATGGAATAATCAAAGTGAGTTGAGTGTTATCAGCCCTGATAACCTTGATTATTGTGGATCACAAAATCTACTGGTAATCTGAATCTTATAATAATTTTGTTTAATTACAAATTGTTTGAAGAAGCCAATGATAAATGCACCATCACATGTAACAGTTTGACATTGAGTTTGGAAAGCATTCATTTTTGTGCTGGCAACCTACAGATTAGTCTGTTTTCTGCTCTAAGATAACTAACTATGTATATCCGTTTGGGTGATTTCCAAAATTAGATGTAGGTTCCTAGCTAATGAAAAGGCAGATAGTACAATGAATGATAATTTTCATAATTTCACTTTGTCAGATCAAAACATCATTTGATCCACATGAGTTCATTATAAATTTAAATGATTTGTCTTACAGTTCTTCTGTGATTTCAGCTGCCCCCAAAAATGGGTGAGTTAAGGTCAAAATTCACTAGCCTGATCACAAAATCCACTAGGCGCTAGCTATCGGACATGATGTTTACAGAAATTACAATTTTACACTGTTTACGGTACGTAGAACTTTCCTCACCAGCGTGCTATCTGCTATGGTTCAATTTCATCCCTAACTCAATTAAGTGATATTTTACTTGATTTCAAACTCATTTTCACCGACAACCTTAGAGACCCAAGGGGTTTCGGTCAGGGCCAAAATGGAATGGCTCCTGATTGAGAACAACAAATCCCAGCGTTGACACCATATGTGGGTTGAGTTTGTTGTTAGTTCTCTCCCTTGCTCTGAGAGGTTTTTTTTCCAGGTACTCCGGTTTTCCCCTCTCCTCAAAAACCAACATTTTCAAATTCCAATTAGACCAGGAATCAGGTAGACAAAGAACCAGTTTGTGGATGTGCTACCTCCAAATCATTACTTATTATTTATATTTATTTATTTATCCTTTGTATTTCTTTTTGCCCAGTTAGCATGTGAGTCACTTTTGTGTGTTCCTACACACCGACAGCAGGTTTGTTGCCTGCTTTCTTTTCTGCTTTTCTGGTTTGGTCCTCAAGGCATCATTTTTTGCTGATTTTTCTTTGATGGTCTGTTTGACCGATTGGTGCTCATTTTGGTTTGGGGTGGGAGATTTCTTTCCACTACAAAAAATTATTTGAGAGATGGTTTTAAATATACATGTAAACCAAGCGAGGTGGTTTCACATATTGTACATTCCTGTAGGTGATTATGTGCAGTTGAGTTATGAATGTGTTAAGCAGGTTTTTTTTTTGCTCATATATTATGCTTAGGAGGTGTTATTGCACTTTTTTCAAAGCTTTGACAAATGATTAGAGAATTTTATAGGCTGGTAGACAAAAACTTGGCAGAAATTATCTAAATCAATTTAAGTGTTGATAAGTAAAACATAACTCACTATTTATTACATCAACTTGATAAGTTGTGGTGTCATTGTTCTCTTCCTGCCCTTCCTAGTCTTTTCCTATCTGTTTTCTTCTTCATCATCATCATCATCATCACTTCGAATCACTATAAATAATTTCCAACGTCTTTTTTTGTTCCCAGAAAATATTCTTGATACAGTATCTCTTCAAAAAGAGATGCTGTAGCAAGAATGTTTCAATTTTTTTAAAGTTGTTTATTGTTTATTGGTTATTCTTCTAAGCCAGGGCCTCAATTCGTTTAAGCTTTGCCATGTCGTTGAGTACTTCAGTATTCTATCGTGCTTTTAGAACTTGCCAAAGCCAAGATTTGCGATACTTTTTAGAGATACCATATCAAGAATGTTTTAACTGGTTTTCTTTAAACATGCCTTACAAGAATAAGGTTGAGCGGGTTCGACATAGGATATCGGCAGATCGTTCCATTGAATAGGGGCTAGGTGTGAGAAAAAAAAATCGAAAGGATCATTGTCAGGGCGTTGTAAATAAAGTTCAAGTTTGTCTCCCAAATTGTCTGACCGTCATGTCATGTTTATTGGTTATTCCTCTAAGCCAGGTCCTCATTTCTTTTTATCTTTGCCATGTCGTTGAGTACTTTTCCCGGTGTTTAGCATACTATTGTGCTTTTAGAACTTGCCAAAGTCTATTTTTGTTCTCTTTAACAGGCCTTGCCATGCGTACGTGGTGTTCCATAAACACGATATGCAGCTTCTTCGTAATAATCGTAATAAAGACAGTTATCACAGCAAAAGTGTACCCTGACTTGATCAGTACATTTATATACCGGTGTACTTTTCATATTGGTTTTCATATCCAAAGCCGTTTGATCAGGGGGGTGTGTTCCATAGGCTTGGAACTCTGCCCTTTCGATTTGCCTTTTCCACATGTTCTGTTCTTCACTCATCTGGTGTGATTTCTGCATCATTTCCTCTGAGAGGTAGCGAAACTGGCCTTGTCTATCTTTTGCATTTTCCTCCTTATCGTTCTTTTGGTCTGGTAGTTGATATATAGGATGCATGGCTGTAAAGAAGCCGAGAGAGAGTGCGGTTTAGCTTACGGAAGACTGTTTTCTTAAGTGATTTTTGGAACGTCTGGCCTATTTTATACCGGCGGTGAAGCCAAATGAGGCAGCCACTTTATGAGCAAACATAAGCAAGTTTAGCAGCACCTGTTAGTTAAAAACAACAACAACCGAGTATTTGCCAAGTTCAATTGTTCTCAAAAAATAGCGGTGGCTTTGAAACAAGTCTGTGATGTTGATGACTTGACCACGCCTTTTCTACCGAATTTTGATGTTGTCTTGAGGATTAGATTACACCCATAACGTGGCAAGCAATTATGTTTTCAAAAAATAGCCTCGGCTTCTTGTCCTCCAAAAATAGCGGTGGCCCTGAAACAAGCCTATGACGTGTATGACTTGACCACGCCTTTTCTACCGAATGTTGATGTTGTCTTGAGGATTAAATGAAACCGAGAAAGTGGCAGGTAATTGTGTTTTCAAAAATAGCGGTAACCATGAAACAGACCTGTGACGTTAAAGATTTGACCACGCCTTACAAGCCTCGGCTTGTTGTTGTTTTGAAAGTTAAATGAAACCGAGCAAGTGGCAAGCGGTTTTGTTTTGAGAAAATAGCGGTAACCATGAAACAGACCTGTGACGTTAAGGATTTGACGACGCCTCATCAGCCTCGGCTTGTTGTTGTTTTGAAGATTGAATGAAACCGAGCACGTGCCAAGCGGTTTTGTTTTGAGAAAATAGCGTTAACTATGAAACAGACCCGTGACATTAAGGATTTGACCACGCCTCATCAGCCTCGGCTTGTTGTTGTTTTGAAGATTATATGAAACCGAGCACGTGCCAAGCGGTTTTGTTTTGAGAAAATAGCGGTAACCATGAAACAGACCTGTGACGTTTAGGGTTTGACCACGCCTTATCAACCTCGGCTTGTTGTTTTTTTAAAGATTAAATGAAACCGAGCACGTGGCAAGCGGTTATGTTTTGAGAAAATAGCGGTAACCATGAAACAGACCTTTGACGTTATGGATTTGACCACGCCTTATCAGCCTCTGCTTGTTGTTGTTTTGAACATTAAATGAAACCGAACACTTGGCAAGCGGTTTTGTTTTGAGAAAATAGCGTTAACCATGAAACAGACCTGTGATGTTAAGGATTTGACCACGCCTCATCAGCATCGGCTTGTTGTTGTTTTGAACATTAAATGAAACCGAACACTTGGCAAGCGGTTTTGTTTTGAGAAAATAGCGGTAACCGTGAAACAGACCTGTGACATTAAGGGTTTGACCACGCCTTATCAGCATCGGCTTGTTGTTGTTTTGAAGATTAAATGAAACCGAGCACTTGGCAAGCGGTTTTGTTTTGAGAAAATAGCAGTTACCATGAAACAGACTTGTGACGTTTAGTGTTTGACCACGGCTCATCAGCATCGGCTTGTTGTTGTTTTGAAGATTAAATGAAACCGAGCACGTGCCAAGCGGTAACCTGACGTCAAGGATTTGCCACGCCTTATCAGTCTCGGCTTGTTGTTGTTTGGAAGATGAAATGAAACCGAGCACGTGGCAAGCGGTTATGTTTTGAGAAAATAGCGGTAACCATGAAACAGACCTGTGACGTCAAGGATTTGACCACGCCTTATCAGCCTCGGCTTGTTGTTGTTTGGAAGATGAAATGAAACCGAGCATGTGGCAAGCGGTTACGTTTTGAGAAAATAGCGGTAACCATGAAACAGACCTCTGACGTTTAGGATTTGACCACGCCGTGTCAGCCTTAGCTTGTTTTTCTATAAGGATTAAATGAAACCGAGTAGGCGACAAACGATTTTGTTTTCATAAAATAGGAATGATTATGACACAATACTATGACGTATTTTGACCACACCTTATCCGGCCGTGTTTGTTTGTGAAGTCCAACATGTGCTGTGGGTACGGAAAAACGGACAACAAAAAACCTGCAACTTGTTTTGCAACATTGCTGCAAAACGAATTGAATAACGATGTTGCGCGTTTTACCACCCACGTTCAAACCTGTCTTGCAACAAAAAAGGTTGTTAACAGGTTTGAACATGGATGCCACGTTTTATCATCAACGCACCATACGAATCAAAATTCATGACCATTCTTGAGTTTTTTATCAGTCGCTGAAAAAACAGGCAGTTGTCGAGATGTTAGTAGGGACCTTAAGCAAACTACTACGACAACGACGGCAGTGAAAACATCACTGAACAAATGAATTTGCGTCTTTTCAAACTTTATCACGTCTATTTGGAACTGCTCAATTCGTAAAATTTAGGCTACTTTTCCTCGAGTTAATTGTTAAGGGCTTTATTCATGTTCAAATAGACAAAGGAAAATTTTTTGTCGTATGTCCACGTCCTCTGTAAAACGTCGCATTGGGAGGTTTCACGTTGTAGTCGTGCAGTGGACGTCAAAGAAATGTACCAAAAAGCGTGATGCACGTCCAAAGCTGTTGGTTTGGTCATAAAACCAATTGTTTTTTGACGTTGTCGTTGTCCTCGTCGTCGTCGTCGTCGTCGTCGTCGTAGTAGTTGCTTTAAGGTCTCTCTTTTGGCAGTTGAGGACGCCTTTAAGTGACTGTTGCCGTCGTAGAGAGGTTTTTGGAAAAACAAGAGTCAATGTATGGACTGTCGGTTGGGCCAACAAAAGTGACTGTTGGTAGAGGTGGCCGGTAGTGGAGGTTCGACTGTAGAAACTTATCAGCGGATAACTTCAAACACACACGTAACTTCCATGGGTCGACACCTGAGCCCGCGATAAGGTCATGGGATACCGGTCAGCGGAAACCCTGTTAAGGTAGCTGTCAATCGACCACCACACGGTTGTGCAATATCAGGTTGCAAGTTCCCACACTTGCTGAAAAGTGTTAAATATCACAATGGTTGCCCTGTGGTTCGGACGGACGGACGGTCAAATGACTTTTAAAATTTCTTGGATGGATAGACAACCAAATTTTTTAACTACTGGGCCCCGCTCGCGCATTGAGCTCCGCCATAAGCGTTAAATGTGACCATAGCTCTTCACTGGAATGTTTAGTAGCTCAGTGCTTAGAACATCCGACTGATGTAAAAGTGATTCTGGGTTCAATAGACATCATGCTCATCAAACTGTACAGTACTTGTCAAACTCAATTTTTGTTCTTTTTAACAGGCCTTTCCACCCCACACTTGTTGTTTTATAAACACGATATACCGCTTTTTGGTAATATAGACAGAGCAGTCATGCACTCTGATTGACTATTTGACGGATCACCCCGAAGGCGTTGCGTGTCATGTAACTGCGGCTATGGGGACAATCATTTCACCTTCTAGGGGAGGGGTGGGCTATTTCAGAGAAAACAAATCTTACAAACAGAACGAATGCAAAGCTGTAACGTGCAGTAGATCGTCCCATGCTCATGCCCATCGAAAATTAGGGTTCAAGCCTGTAGAAACCTCCCTGCCTGAAGCTCTTCTCCTTCTGAAAAAGGTTAAGACGGAAACTATCAGGAAATTGAGTAATTTTAATTTTCAGTGGACAAAAACCTTGTACTAGTAATATCGCATTCTTGTTTACATTTTTCTAGGGCTATAGATGTGCTTAGTTATCTGTAATAACACCACAGAAAATTTCTCATGAGAGCCCCAAAAAAGAAATGTCAAATTTCACAAAATGACATCTTACACATGAAATTTTCAGAATGTTACCTGTGTTCTCACAATTCTTGTGAAATTTGACATTTATTTTCTCGGTTTCGGAAGAGAAATAGTTTTTGGTGTTATTACTATAGCCCTTGAAAAATGTATAAACGAATTATTCTGGTACAAGGCTTTGTCCACTGAAAATTGAAAGTACACAAGTTCCTGATGGATTCCGCCTTAATCCGTTAATGGAACTAGAAAACGACGCATTAGGTTTAAATCTGTTCATGGAATTAGGAAACAACGCGGCAGTATGTCTTAGGTCTTCCTCTCTTAGTTTGTCCGTGTTATGGCTGCCACAACACAAGCTTCAATGCCTCCTCTTCCTTGTGTCTAACACAATGCGAAGCTGCTGTCATTCTTCTTTCCTTGATCTTACTAGAAAGCTTTTGAAGGTGAACGTATAAATTTTCCTTTGATATGTGGTCCCTTCAGATGACGTTTAGTGCTGTGCGAAGCCTCCTGGCATAGGCACCATGTGCTTTTGGTGGGAATTTAGTTCTTAGGGGAAGGAAACTGAATTAATCAAGTTCCATCAAGGATCCTTATCACAGGGCGAAGTGAACTGGAGTTAACCCTGTTTAAATCACTAAACTTCAGCCATTTCGTTTCGCGGTTTTAAGTGTACAGCTCCTCGAGGCGACGTTTTTACTTGAAGCTGTCCATTGTCCAGTTATTAGGTTTTGATTGATCGAAGGCTTAGATCTTATGAAATTGAATTTTTATTTGAAATGGTTTCAAGCTCACTGTTTTAAGTGCCTTAATTAAATTTATATATTAATGATTGTGAGCAATTAGGCCGGGGTACTTCGGCTACATTCTCCTTCGGTCGCCTTTTCATGGATGTCTGATAAAATATGGGATGGACTACTCGGCGTTCAGAGCCTCGGTTGTTTGAACGCTGGACAGCGCTTTGCATCGGATAAGAATTAGGGAAACCAATTGCGTTATCTACTGGATAGCGCCATCAACCCTTTCGAACAACTGTGCTCAGAAATGTCTGTAGACGATGACACGGTATTGTGTAAAGAAATTAGCGAGATTAGAAAACACGTTTACGACAAATCAGAATCGAGTTCACAATTTCTCAAATATGGCGATGAAAAAGAAGAGATATACGTGCAAAAGAATTCTTAAGCATTATCCTCACATGAACCTGTTTTTTTGGTGGCGGCCTTGAAAAAGCTCTCAGAAGGAGCTGTTCTATTGGGTGACGAAACAATAGATGAGTAAACCAAACAAGGCCCGTAGCCCTAAAAAACAATATCAGGATTGATTTGGTTTGGAAGGGTTATAAAATTAGAGGACACTACAAGCTTCGTGCATGCTACTGACGTTTTGTGTGTGTATTAAAAACAGTCCACGACAAGTAAAGGAAAAAAAAATACTTAGTCTATTGGTACAAAAAAGTGATTCTAAATCTCTCTATTGTAATTCA